AGATTAATCCCCACTGACAACCACAAGGCGGCCCGATCGGAGGCCACTTTTATAGAGCAACAATTGCTTCGCCATCCTCGTCCTCGCCGTCGTCCTCGTCCGCATCCTCGGCAGTTGCAGTTTACATGGTAAATTGTGCAACTTGTTCACTTTTTGCATAAAAATTGTTCATTGAAAATGCATAAATGTGCAGTCGGCACAAAGGAAATGCCGGGTCTGCGGACTGGAGCGGACTGGACTGGACTGCATTGGAAGAATTATTATGGATAGAAAACATTGAACCCCGGCCAGCAGTTCGATATCGATGCAATTGCTGATTGCTATTGGCCCTGGAATGCCGCTTGTTGTTAACTATGAATTGTCTTTAAATACACGGCATTAAATAGCATTTATAATATATTCATGAGCGTTGATACGCTTCCCGGTATTGCTCAATATCTAATGCCCCTTTTTGCCTTTGCCAGGCGGAGAGCGCTCTCGACCATATCTCCGACTATCTGCGCAGCTCCTGCCGCTGCCATCTCTGCTGCCACTGGACCCAGCGGACCTGGACCGGGCTGGAATCACCACAAAAGGCTTTTAACCGTAAGCATGTGGCCCAGACAGTTGCATGGCCCATTTTGTTCGCCCCGGGGCAAGTCAAAGTTTGTGGTGCCGGCGCCCCTTGGCACCTTGCCCCCTCCACAAAGTCCAGAGACCAAGTGGAAATGGGCGGAAATTAAGGGAATAACACATATTAAATGCTCTTTGCTAAGCTTTTCTATTCAAAATGCTTTAAGAATGAAAATTCTTTCGATTTAATAGCTTATTTAAGTTATAAAACTAACTTTTAGGATTTTGTGGGACTTTATAAAAATAAAAAAAAGAATATAATATGCAGTCATTGCCGTAAAGAATTATTTTATAACAAATGTATTTAATATAATGAAAAACATATCTATTGTGTCTAAGAATATAATCTTAATGTGCATTTAAGATGACGCATGAACGACACAAAAGATTTTCCGAAGCGTAACCATGAAAATTTGCTGCAACGTTGAGTTTTCAGCAAAATTATATAATATCTATAATGACATTTTAAACGTTTTTAGTGTATTAAACATTTGGGAACATAACTCACTGCATTGACTCCGTTGACTCTCCCATTTATTGACCCGTTTTGGCTCGACGCGGTCTTGAGAACTGTGCGTATACGTATTGTCTATTGTCTATATATTCCGGGGCCACGCAGCTATGTTTGTTTCTATATTTGGCCAGACTGCGACCACGCACCGTTCACCATTTGGGGCCCAGCTCCTGCCCCAACATTCCTACGGTTGCCGAGATTTGCCTTTTGGGATCGAGGTGGGGGTTTGGGGCTTTCGGTTAGAGCTTTTTGGTTTCGGCTTGGAGTTTGAGTTTGGGTGGCTGGTTGCGCTCTCCTCCATCAAATTCGATTCAATTATTTGCGCGAGCTGGGAAATTGTCGGCCATTGTCTCTGTTCAATGCGTGAAATTTATAGTTATGACCGCGGCGGCATTATGACCTCGCCTGCTGACATCTGATTGTTGGCCGGGTGACAGAAGTCGCCTGCCTAAACACGAATTATGGCCTGGAATGCGAGGACCATTCACCCGACTTCGATTGGCAACATATTGATGTGGGGCAGGGCTGATCGCAGCACGGATTTGCAATATTTATTAGAAGCGTTGAGCGGTCAGGTGTTCCCCAAAAAAAGGTCAGAAAAAAACCCATCCGATCGATCTTGCTCGTAAGCGGGGAATTCAAATTACCTGCACTCGAAAGGACAGAGGAAATCAGCTTAAGAAATCTGGCAGACAAAGGTCTGCCGAAATAAGCGGAAAATAAAAATCGGCATTTCATTAAGGCCCCTTCTTCTTTGGCCGGCGAGTGCAATTCAAAATTGAATTCGAAATCTGCAAACACACATCTCGATGAGATCATTATCGGTCGTAACAACGACAGGCCAATTACATTAATTAATTATTAAGGCAACGCAGGAGCAGCTGGAGCATTGGATCGTGATGAGAAGGAGGTGGAGGTGGAGGAGGGAGAGGATAGAGAGGAGGGAGGAGGGAGGAGGACTGCCAGGATTGCAGCATCAGGAGCAGGAGCAGCCAATGAGTGTCACGTACGGACGCAATGTTCCCAGAGCGCAGTTGCTATCGAGGAATGCAATCAGCGATCGGAGGGAAATCGAACAAGCTCGGCTTACGTTTAGCTATAGCTACACTGAGAAAAATTAAATTTAAATTGCAGATAAATCGCAATGTTCATGCTCTTTCAAAATAAATAGAATTTTTTGTATACAAATAAATAATATACAAATAACTAAATTCACTAAGTAAGCTTTTTATTATAAATAAGTTGGGCTTTTTACAATATACATATGTAAATACTATTAAATTTTTATTAAGTATAACTTTTTAAGCTGCCTACATTTAAAAACATAAGTACCTATAATTAGGATAAAAATTGAATAACCCAAATGTTGTAGATACAACATCGTTTATAAAAGCTTATATTAACTCTAACTTTATTTATTTGAGTTTACGAATTTTCTTATTCATTTTCGGCATTTAAGGGGGTCTTCCTATGTGATGGGTTGAAAAAATCGATTTTTTTTTTTTTCATAAATTGCTCCCTTAACATGTCTAGAATACGGTAGTAAAGCGATTTTAGAAAATTCGAAGTCGTTTTAAAGATACAGCAGGTAAAAGAAAGAGCGGTTCGGAGCGCTGAGTTGGCAGTTAGAAACTTTAAACGCGTTTTTCTCAAAACTGTGTTTTTCAAACTTTCCTCCATTGTATCTCAGAAACGGCTGGACCGAATTACTTGAAATTTACAGGGCACACTCAATATATGTAAACGCATGGAATGAACTATTATCAATCGAAAATTTTCAAAACTTCGATTTTTTTATAGCAAAAAACAAAAAAAAAAAACGCCAAATTTGCAACTTTTTTTTCAAATGTCTATCAAAAATCCAATTTTTTTTATATTCATTTGATTGTAGTTCATTCCGTGCATTTAAGCCTACAAATTAAAACGCCGTTTATTTTTTTTTTTTCTGATAAGCCGATCAGCCGGAATCGTGGAGGAAGTGGGAGCTCTTTTTTTCGAGGCGGGGGTGTTCAGAGCGCTGTAACTCTAGTTTGACTGAATATTTTTAGCTGAAATTTTTTATTTATACTGTCCAAATATGTGTTAATAAATGATAAAAAACTCGAAGCTCTAAATATTTACTGGTCGTAGAAAAAAAATCCTAAAATATCCCTAAAAAACAGGCCGTCACATAGGAAGACCCCCTTAAAAATCGAATTATTTTATTGTTGTTTTTATGATAGAACTCAAATTTTGTTTAGTGTCCAACTGCAGCTTCAATTCCAGCTGAAGAGCTGCTCTGGCTGGGGGCGTTTTCGGCCACGCTGTGTGACTAAGCAGGCGAGTCAAGCGAGGCGATCGCGGCTGCCCTGCTGCCCATATAGTCGTATACTCGTACTTGCTGCATGCCACATTGCCCCTTGCCAAGATCGATCGGCTCGTCCATCCGTCCGCTTTATGATTTGCAGATTTTCAAATATGCATCTCCTGCTGCTGCTGTTGCTGCTTGAGCTGCCCCAGCCGCTCTTGCTGCTTGTGGCTGCTGCGGATTCTGCCACTTGCCGCGTTGCGTTAGGCGTGCGATGATTAATTGCTGCCGGCTCACGCAAACCGCTCCGCTCGCCAGTCTGCCTTGCCTTGCGTGTGCTCGCCGAATCTCTGCCCCGGCTGAATAATGATCTCTAGAATGTCTTGTTTCAAAAAAGCTAATAAGATCATTTATAACACAGTTAGTTCAGGTTCTGGACCGGCCAAGACCGCTCTCTGGGGGCCGTCTGTCCGTTGTCTGCTTAGGCAATTTCCTGCAACCATCAGCATCAGAGGTGGACGTTGATTGCAAAAAGGGGGGTTATAAATGGGGAATAAAATCATTACATTTTTATTGAACAATTATTTAAAAATATTTCACTCATATAAATTTTTATACAATATTACAAATTACAAATGTAAATGATCTTAAATGATTCTTACTTTTAATATTGAAATAATAAAACAATTTGTAAGGGTTAGGGTTCAAATCTTTTTATGTTCCTTAAATCCGTTCCGAGTGTTTTAAAACCCATTTTTTTTAATATTTTATGGATTTACCTTTTATATTCTTATGATCGCCGCCTCTGCTTGCCCGACTGTTGGTGCAATGAAAATGCCTCAGCGGCAATTAATCGACAGCTCGGCTCAAGTCATTCATTTCGCGGCTAGTTTCGAGTGTTCGGCTCCCACCGGGTGTTACGTCACAAATTCACAGTCCTCGGCGGTTAGAAATTAACGAGTGTTAAAGGGAAATACTAAAGGTAACAGGAAGTGGCTGAGGAGATGCGTGTGGCTAAGTAGAATACTTTGGGGCAGCCGCCGACAGCTGATTGCCATTTTCTGCAGCAGGATGTGTGCAAATCCCTTTGCCACTCCCTTCCCCTTCCCCTTTCCCTTTACCCTTCACCCTTTAGCCTTCTTCGGTCCTGGGAGTCAATTAAACTGCCAACACTTGTTAACAAGCTGCAATCACAAACACGCCCCGAGCTTGGGACTCCATCGCCTGACTGACCAGCGAATTATCACCGAAGCCCCGAAAAAAAATTGAGGCAAAAATACAAATACAAGACGAATGAAACGTTGTTGTTTTTGGTCCTGGCGCAAAGGGGCGTGTTTGGGGCAGTTATGTAGTTTTGAAAGCGCCTCTGACCCGTTCTCCCCCTTTCACCGCCTTCACCCTTTAGCCTCCAGTATTTCCCACCGCGCTTGGCAATTTTTTATTTATTTGCAAAAGGCAATTTAAAGGCCACAAAGAGTCGGGCAGCCGCACAACTTTTGCCTCGCATTGAATTTCAATTTGTGTTTCCGCATAAAAATGCGCTTCGTATTTATTTTTGTGGGTTATTTGTGCCTTGTCGAGCTGCGAGCTCAGATCTTTTATCGCTGATAAAATGCGACCCTTCGAGGAGGGCGTACATTGCCAGCCACGCCCTCACTTTTCGATGTTGTTGTTGTTGGTGCTGCCGCTGCAAGTTGCTGTTGCTGCTGCAATTGTTGTTGCTGTTGCTGTTGCTGTTGCCGTTGTCGCTCTGCCTGTTTTACAATTGTTTGTTTTGGGCTGTTTGTTAAACACCTTCCGCTACACGTTGGCCATTGCCAAATCGCCTCCGTTTCGTCCTCTTCACTCGGACGCACTCACACATTCGCACCTTGAGCGGGACACTCGCACACGGACACGGACACACATCCTTTGTCATGTTTTGGGCCTGGCAAAAGATTTAGGGTCCCACTTCGCCTCATTCCACAGCCACTTCCCCAGTCCTTTCATCGGATCTCATTCTCTAGCTTGAGGTGTTATAATTTTTAAGAGGAATAAATGTTATAATTAACATACTTCCTTTATGAAAATCCAAAAAAATATCTTTAGAGGCCGGCATCGGGATAAATTCTATTCCACATTTTAGAATGAATTAAAGCATATCCAAAAACATCATATAAAAAACAAAGTAAGAAGAAAAACTTTTTTTAAAATTTGTTTAGGTAAATGTTAGACACATCAAAATGTTTACCATATATAGATTCTGTAAATCTGTTTCAAAATAATTTGAAGAATATATAAGTAAGTAAACACATTGTAATTTAAATAGGAATCTATATAGGAAACAAGAAATTTAATGCTGCCTTGAATGATTTTTCAAGGGTATCCTGTCGGTCGGTCCAGAAGCTTCTTTCGCCAGCTGGAGCTCCCTCTTCCTGCACATCCTCAATATCCTCTATAGGGCTTGGCCTGCCCTTTGATGTTGCTCCTCCTCGTGTTCGCTTTTGGCTCGCCTCGCATAACTTTGCTTGTTAACAATTGCATTGTACAACAACAGCAGCGAGGCAGCGGCAAACATCGGCGATCCCAGGCAACGATCCCATCCGATCCGGCAATCCAGCAATCCAGCAATCCTCTCAATCTGAACGGAGCTCTTCTGGTCTTTGCCATTTTTAGGTATCAACGTCGGCACCCCAGACCAAAACCAAAACCAAAACCGAAAACCAGCGAGCAGATACCAAAGACCGGCGACCCCGGGACACAATGGACACTCTTTTTCGAAAATAGGTGGCTTGATTTATTTGTCTGCAAATTCGCTTTCTCAAAAGGCATTTTCGGCCGGAGAGCCAACAGCCTGACCCAACTACTTATGGCCACTTCCGAGCGCGATTCTTTGAATATGACTAAGCTGCCGCATTCATCAAACGATATTCGGGTTCGAGTGTGAGTTCTGATTATTCAGATCGGACGAGTGGCGAGATTTCCATCGAAGCGATGATCTCGAGCACTTGGCTGAAATCCAAACCCATTAACTGCCGGTTCCCAGCGACAAATACTTAAGAAACATGGCGAGAAGTCTTTAACCTAACCTTGGAACTAGAACTCAGGTGACTTTTCCTGGCTTATTGACAGGCCAAGGAATTTATCGAGGGCAGTCAGAGAAACTAGTAAAACATGTGAGTCCACTTTTAATGGGTTGTCTACTTAGTTTAGATAGAAAACTCTATACAAGCTTTATACATTTTCCTGAATCTGCTTTGTTGTCCTCTTTCTTTAGGAAACATCTTTTTATTAATTGTAGAGTAAGTCATAATAATGTATGTTCCTACATAAACATTTTTTCCTGTGCAGGCCAGAAGCCTTGTAAATCTCAGCTCCACTTTGCCTGCCAAATGTCGCGCAGCGAGAACACAAAAAGCAAATCCCTTGCAAAAGCAAAGGCCCCGGAGCAAGTGTTCAAATTCCATTAAAAGAACATTTACAAATTTGGCAAAGATCAGCGGGCAAGAAGAGCTGGAGCCCAGCAATACCAAGCAATACCAAGCTCGAACCCGACGACCGAGGAGCATCTGCAGAGTGCTAAACAAAAAATCGAATCCGCTCTAAACTGGCGCGACACCTTCGATTCGAAATGGGGGGCTGGGATCGAAAGACCTTGGGCACCCCGAGCTTTGGCTCTAAAAATAATGCAAGACAAACAACACACGGCAATCGACGGCAACAATGCTGTTCTGTTCGCTGGCGAGGAGAACTTTTGTCTCCAACAGCGTTTTCCCTAACAACCCGAGGTGATAAATAAAATTCTTTATATGCAATCTTTTAATGCAATTTACAATAAAATCAACATGGAGTTTAGTTGGCGGCTGGCGGTTGGCTGTATGCGGTTGGCGGTTCGCGGACGGCAGCTTCTTCCTTTTGGGCCCTCGCTAAATAACAAGGGGGCACAGCTTGATTTGACATTAGCACAATCCCACAGATCACCTTCCCAAAATGGATTTCGCCGCCGTCGTTCGATGGCCGGAGCTTTTGCTCGGCAGCCGCAGAAAACGGAAATGGAGGCCCAGCGAATGAACGCGATGATCACTGCGCCCGGGAAATAAATACAGCATAGAAATGATGTACGGAAAACGATCGGAGGAGCCCCTCGAAGCAGCCAGGGCACATCCAGCAACAGCTCCAAATCGAGCATGGCCATCCCAGACAGCCCCAGCAGAACTCACGGCTCCTCCAGCCAGCATTTCGCATCTCGCATCGCGACGGGGGGTGCCTGGTTGACTGGCTGACTAGCTGGCTGGTTGGCTGGTTGGTTGGCTGAGTGCCTGGGCGATGGTGGGGCCTAGGAAAATTGGCACAGTGGTTCCATCACAATGCATAATGGATAGGCCCTCCATTCAAATCGAACGCCTCAATGGGCAATTAGTTAGGGATAAAATGGCACAGCCACTGGAAGCGTCAAGAAGTCAGTTGCAGGCTGCTATTAGTGTTTAATATAGGATTTGCAAATTATTATATTACTGTAATAATACTATAAAATAGGTTGGAAAATTGTTTTATAAATACGACACTTATTGCAGAAGCTTAGGTAAATAAAGTCAAAGAGCTTGATTTGTTTCTAGTTTATGAATTCCATTAAATACATCGGGAATAAAACTAACTTCTTATTACCTTTTAAAAACCAATTCAATTGTTTAATTTGTCTTAAGGCATAAGAAGAGATTAAATTTCTAATTTTTTTTAAATATTTTTTATTTTTTTAATTGGGAGATTGAATCAATAGGTAACACTTGCATATTGTTTTTCCCATTTCAGGTCATCGTAGCCACTGTTTCTGCCCAGGGTCTGGCAGCTGCCTAGATGCGGATGCTCGGGGCATCTCCTCCTGCCCCCTCCCCGCTTCCTCCTGCCCCTCGCCTCCTGTATCCCGATCCTGCTGCTCGTTTGGGCTACCACTTTGCGTCTGGAACTGCTGCCGCTGCCGCTGCCGCTGCCGCGGATTCCGATTCCGATGCCGCTGCTCGCGGAGCTGGCGCGGCATTATTAATGATAAATGTGGCTTGCACTCATGATAAATACAGAGAATCGTTGAAAGGTATAAATCAATAATAGAGAAGTTTGTTTGCAGTTAGGCAGGCGCAGGATGGAGCCGTGATTTTCAGCCAGCAGACAATGAGTTTGCCCGGGCATAATTCACCCAGGAGCAAAAGGTCTTCGTGTGGAAGCTGGCCGAGGGATCTGATTAGAAGAGCGGCCCAGGAGGAGACCGCAACTGAAATTGGACGTGGCTGTCCCTGTGCTGTCCTGTCGACTTGCCTGCTCCACAAAATCATGTCCATTAATTGACTAATTAATCGACGGCTGTGCGGCGAAACAAAACAGAGACATAACAGCCAGTGCGATTATCAATAACAATTAGCCGACGCCTCTCCGCCGTTCTGTCAAATATACTCGTACGTTCTCAGTGGCCATCTTGGCCCTCTTCTCCCATTGGCTAGTTGCATTTGAATGCACGAGTTACGCATCCATCAAATGTCAATTGTTTGTCTTGACTCGGCGCTCAAACGTCTTCGGAGACGGAGACTCGCCGCATTTCCCATAAATCATTCGAAAGTCTCTCTGGCGGGCAATGTATCGCAGAATCCCGGCATCGGCGGCGACGACGTCTTCTGGCTGTCAGAGGAGCGGTCTGGCTCTGGGTGGATATGGAGGAGTTGGAGAAGGTGGTCCAGGCCCACTCGGATGCCCATCCAAGGCATCGAACTTGTCTAGCGCGATGGCCCAGCTGAGTGTCGGCCCTGTCCATCTTGAATTAGTTGAGCAGTCGCAAGACATTAGGTGCGGCGAATGGCTGACGATGGCTAACTATATTAAGTTTGACTTTTAATGCATATTTTCAAGGCATTTCAGACTTTTTCAGAATGGCTGGAGGCAAGATTAAATTAATTTTTAATGCATTTCTGGGCTTTCATTAGACGGAAAGTAGTTTTATAGGTATTCTTAAGTCTGCTCTTATTATTTTCAACTGGATTGCTAACGATATCTCAACTGCACAGTTGTTTGATTATTTTAAATCAATTTAAGGGCTAAGAAAATATTTTCCACTTTTATTTCCTTTGCTGGTAGAGTGCATCGTTCCCATTAAAACGAACATTTTCAGTCTTTACCTGCCATAATTTCTTTTGATAAAAACACCTAATGATATTAAGTTTAATTACTGATAAAAGCAAGAACTAAGTGCTTTTTTCAGCCTTTATCTGCCGTGATTCCCTTGCCTTTGAAGCACGTTTTTTTTGCCAGTTAAGTTTTAAGCTGAGTGCGAACCTGGTTTCGCCTTTAACTTTGACTGCCAACTCCCTCACAACTTTCCACGGCCACTCACCTGACGGAGCCGGCGAACTTTTGCATAATAAAGCAGGTGCTTTTCCTCCCCCAAAGGGATCAGGGCAGACCAGTCTGAACCCGCCACCTGAGTCACCATCACTATCACCTTTACCAGCACGAACCGTTAATGTGCCGGCGATTTTAGTTATGGCCAGTGGCCACCGCCAGATGGGAGTTGGCCAGCTGGGCAGTGTCCTTTGTCCCGTTGATAATTTAAAGCCAACGACCTGGCCAGGATTAAGCCAGCCGAATAGCAACTGTTTCACGCTTAAATCACAGAGAAAATAAATCGAGGATTTTGAACTTACCAAGTGCAAATTCCAGCTTAGAACGAGCTCTTAAATATATTTATAATGGGTTCTGTGATTGTACGAATGCAAATTTAATGCGTTTATTCTTACAGAAATAGTTGAACATTTTTTTTACAACAAATATAAAAAAATAATTTATAGTAAGACAAATTTATTTGGAGGTTAAGTAACTATAATTAGTTTGTAACAATAAAATTTTAAAATTGATTAAAAATGCATAAATTTTATTCGCTAAAATTATTATCTAGTGATTCAGAAGGCCTAAAATTTTCTTACCCTGTAGCAGCAACACTCCTTTCCATTTTAACCTCCCCCAATCCCCTGCGATCCTGCTCTTTTAGCAATCTGAATATTCATTTCAATTGTGCGAACTGCATCGGCGGTGAAAGAGGAGCCTGCACCATTCCATCGGCTTATGGCACTTTCTTCGGGCCAAAAGCGCTCTTTTGGCTCCTAGCTGCTGGCTGGCCGATGCCGCCCGGTGGGGGACGACGACCCACATAAATCATTCACAATTAGATGCGGACGCAACTGCGGCAGCGGCTTAAACACCTGACCGACTTGCTGCCAAAAAAAAAAAACTCGCGTTGAGCGGGTTTTCCCTTGAGTTTCACTCGAGTTTCGAGTGCTTCGGCTGGGGGCCTTGAGTGGCCCGATTCCACGTTGTTCCCCTGGCGTTCCACGGGCCTCAACGGACCTGTTCCCAGTGCGTGCCGTTCAGTATGTACTTGAGACCGGTTCGAAACGTTGCCAGCCGAAAAGTCAGCGGGCCGCGGACGTCGAATTTCCCCACAAAAACAACAAACAACACCAGAACCAGCAACTCGCAACTCGCAACCAGCAACTAGCAACTATCAACATTGGCAACATAGTAAACACTCAACAGCAACCTTGCATTTCGAGGGTTCCATTATGATATGATATTAGGAGCCCCCCACCAAATTCGTATTGTGATTTTGTGCGGTGATCAATGTGCGATCGGCAGTTCGAGGAGTATCCCCAAAGAATGCCGCGTTAATTGAGCTGTACGTACAGCTGTAGTACAAATTTGCATAACCAGTGAGGAGGCATAAACAAATCTGGCCGGAGCGGTGTGGAGCGTCTTGGTTCACTGATTTAATGCCACAAACAGATTGCAGATTGTAGAAGCAGCCGCGCCCCTGCAACTTCAGCTGCAACTTGTGCAGCAACCACCTTCACCTCCACCTCGAACTCCAGTCTTTCTGCATCTTGGTCTTGGTCTTGGTCTTGGTCAACCTGCTTGGAAGCTTGTTTCTGCGGAAGAGCTGCCGCCGGAGCGCCAGACCCGGCACAAAAAAAGAAGAGCTAAACTAAAAAAAATTAAAAAAGAAAAAGAAAAAAATTGAGAAGAAAAACACATACAGAACAACGCTGCTGCTGCTGCTGCTGCTGTTGTCGACGTCTTTGGAATTTTCTTTAAAAACAACGCGCTAAGATTTACAACGCGGACCCAGGCAAAAAGTGTAAAAGGCAAGCAAATGCAGCCGCGGTAAAAAAAAAAAATTAGCGCATACTGAAGTGTGTCCCAGTGTTTCGTGTGTGTGTGTGTGTGAGTGTGTGTGTTTCTGTTACCAAGTGTGCGAATAGGAAAAAAAAACGAGCTGCCCAACTAAGAGAAAAAGTTTGAAAAGTGTCAAGCGAGCGGCTCGGTGGCGGCCAATAACCCAACGACTGGCATGCAATTGCAGCCAGGCGACCCCGACGGGTTAATTACCGTTATCCTTGCAATACAACAACAACAACAACAACAACTACAGCAGCCACTAAACGGTACTCAAGTTGTGGATTACGTCTACGCCGTGTTGTCGCCGTGTGAAAGGACAACTGCAACAACACAGCAAACATCTGCAGCATCTGCAACATCGGCCATAAAAACCGCATTGAACACAAGGCAAAGTCAAGTGAACATTCCAATTGGCAACGTAACGGGCTAATTGGCACACCGGCCAATCAAAACGAGGTGAGTTTCAAGAGTTCTGCACTCATCAATTGCATTTTCCCCATGAAATTCCGAGTTGGTTAAGCGTCCTTTAATCTAAAGAGCAGAGTGGTAAATCTTTGAATGCTTGTTCTTGATCAGTTCTGCTTAGAAGGTTATAAAAATTAATAATAGAAATTTAATGAGTATTTAAAATACTCAATAATACTAATCAGGACAAAATAAGGTGATTTCTGAAAGTCCATTTGCTTGTCGCAATCATTTATTGATTTTTCAATTGGATTATGATATATAATCGCTATTCTTCGCGGATCTGCCTTGTCCCTTTGCATTTACAGGGGGGCGCATTTACAAGGTTGGCTGGTATATCCAAGGGTTCCCTTGGGGAGGAGGTTGTATCCATTGAGGAGGAAGAGGAGGAATAGGAGGAAGAGGAGGAATAGGAGGAATAGGAGGAAGAGGAGAAGGCGGAGGATATAGCACAGGACCAGGAATTGGTAGCAGCCATCCATGGCCGGGTTGATTGTCTGGTGGGACATATGGTTTTGGAGTTGGTTTGGCTGGTCCGGGTCTGGGTCCACTGGGAGGTCTGGGTGGAGGTCTATCCGGTGGCTTCGACGTAACCGTTGAAACTATGCTCTCGACTTTGTTTTCTGTACCGTTCTGGATTTGCTTGCTTTCGCTTTTTATATAAATATCAGGGCCCGCTCCTGGTATAGTTTTACCTGGACGACCTGGCGTGCCGCCACCGCCTCCGTTGATTTCCGTTTCGATGCCGAATCCTGGACCCGGTACAACAACAGATCCTGCAGCATCCGTATTGTTACTTGTGGAGGTGTTCACCGATATTATTCCGGGAGTTCGGGGAGGTTCATTAGATAGCCCTTGATTCGTTAAAACGCCTGCACAGACGAGAACCATCAGTCCCAGTATCAAGCCCATTTTCCATGAAGTTTCGTTCAAAATAAACTCGGAGCGATCCGTTTTTTAGATAATTAGTGTATTACTAACACCAATGTATCACTTTGACATTTTGAGTTCACAATCGGTTTGTTTCGCATTAATTTAAAAATCAAAGCGAAACCAACATTTATGTAGTTGCTTGGTGAATGTCAAAGCTGTTTATATTGAAGCTTTCCCCTAAGCAGTTAATACGTTAAGTATTTTTGATAAAATTCTTTAGATTATTTATTATCGATTTATTAAGGTGCTAACTCTTTGACTTCAAGTGTGATTCTTGAGCTAAATCTTAACTTTTTCGAGCAGTTAGTAAACTATTTTCCTTTTGATCTCTTCTTCGGTGCTACTTAAAATCGGGCCAAGCTGTAAGCCAATTTCAGGGAAGTCCACTCCATCAGGCCGAGTCGCATCTGCCATTTCCCTTCGCATTTACAAGGAGGCCATTATATCGATAGGTGGCTTCTTCGTAACGGTTTGAACAAGGCTTACGACATTGTTTTCTGTACCGTTCTGCGTTTGCTTGCTTTCGCTGAGTACCAAAACACCGGGGGCCGCTCCGGGTAGGTTTTTACCTGGACCTCCTGGACTGCCGCCGATTACCGTTTCGTGGCCGAATCCTGCACCCGGTACACGAACAGATCCTGCAGCATCCGTATTGTTACTTGTGGAGGTGTTCACCGATATTATTCCGGGAGTTCGGGGAGGTTCATTAGATAGCCCTTGATTCGTTAAAACGCCTGCACAGACGAGAAACATTAGTCCCAGTATCAAGCCCATTTTCCATGAAGTTTCGTTTAAAATGAACTCGGAGCGATCCGTTTTTTAGATAATTAGTTTGTGACTAACACAAAAGTATCACTTTGGCCTTTTGAGTTCACAATCGGTTTGTTTCGCATTCATTTAAAAATCAAAGCGAAACCAGCATTTATGTAGTCGCTTGGTGAATGTCAAAGCTATTTATATTGAAGCTTTCCCCCTAGCAGTTAATACTTTAGGTTTTTTTGATAAAAATCTTTAGATTATTTATTAACGATCTATTAAGGTGCTAACTCTTTGACTTGAAGTGTGATTCTTGAGCTAAATCTTAACTTTTTCGAGCAGTTAGTAAACTATTTTTCTTTTGATCTCTTCTTCGGTGCTACTTAAAAGCGGGCCAAGCTGTAAGCCAATTTCAGGGAAGTCCACTCCATCAGGCCGAGTCGCATCTGCCATTTCCCCTCGCCCTTGTTTTGATAGGTGGCAGATATATTAAAGGGTCCACTAGGGCTGGAGGTTTATCCATTTAGGAAGAGGAGGAAGAGGCGGAGGATGTAGCACAGGACGCGAAGGGACTTTCTTTTTTGGTGGCACACGTCTGGTCGGTGGCGTCTTCGTAACCGTGTGAACACTGCTTACGACATTGTTTTCTGTGCCGTTCTGCTTTTGATTGCTTACGCTGACTATCGAAACACCAGGGCCCGCTCCGGGTAGCGGTTTACTTGGACCACCTGGACGGCCGCCGATTACCGTTTCGTGGCCGAATCCTTTACCCGGTATAACAACAGATCCTTTAGCATCCGTATAGTTACTTGTGGAGGTGTTCACAGATATTGTTCCGCGACTTCGGGGAGGTTCATTAGATAGCTCTTGATTCGCTAAAACGCCTGCACAGACGAGAACCATCAGTCCCTGTATCAAGCCCATTTTCCATGAAGTTTCGTTCAAAATAAACTCGGAGCGATCCGTTTTTTAGATAATTAGTGTATTACTAACACCAATGTATCACTTTGGCATTTTGAGTTCGCAATCGGTTTGTTTCGCATTCATTTAAAAATCAAAGCGAAACCAACATTTATGTAGTTGCTTGGTGAATGTCAAAGCTATTTATATTGAAGCTTTCCCCTAAGCAGTTAATACTTTAGGTTTTTTTGATAAAAATCTTTAGATTATTTATTATCGTTTTATTAAGGTGCTAACTCTTTGACTTGAAGTGTGATTCTTGAGTTCAATCTCAACTTTTTCGAGTAGTAAGTAAACTATTTTCCCTTTGATCTCTTCTTCGGCGCGACTTGAAAGCGGGCCAAGCTGTAAGCCAATTCCAGGGAAGTCCACTCCATCAGGCCGAGACGCATCGAGTGTTCCAAGCTGCAGATACATTTGTGATGGAGCACTCGGACCTTCCACTGACTGGGGCACAGACTGCCCGGCTTCGACTCTTGTATCTCTCAATTTCCATTAGACGCTGAGCGGGTTCTCTTTGGGTTCTGAAGTGAATTTATGTCTGGCCGCTAAACAATTGATGCTGAAAAATGATGGCAATGACAAAGTGATTACTGCCAGCAATGGAAAGCGAGGAGAGATGCCAGCAATCGAAGTTCAAGTTGAAAAATAACATTTTCAATTTCCAATTGTGAGGCAGAAGCAGCAGCAGTAAAAGCAGCAGCCTCTGAGGAAAATTGAAAATGAAATGCTTTGCTGGCAGACAAAGGAGGTTCATCATTAATCATTTAGTTTGTTGTTTTTACAACGCATCCGAAAATACACCTATTTATACGTACATAATCGTCTTGACTGGGCCACTTCTTCTTCGTTTGGGGCACGTTCTTGATTTGAATCTCTTGCCTCCATACGCCGTCCCATTTTTTCCCGTGTTTGTTTCGTCTTTGAGTATTTGGCTTTGGTAAATTGCTCATCGTCATGCTTTTATGATTTGGTATATTATTTTTAAGAATTTGATGCGCTCAACTTGATAAGCCCAAAGCGCCCTGTGCTTTTTTTTCTGGTCCCCCAAAACCCCTCACCCACCTGCATTCCATTCCTGACTTATTGTTGTGCCTTTCGGTGTACGTGTGCCTGTGTGTAGGTGTGTCCACAGCACCCAGCCCAAAACTTCAGAATTTTTTAACAATATCCAGGGAACCGCTTTTTCGATCTCACCTTCCTCGGTAAAAGTGTGTGTAAAGTTTTAAAAACAAGCCGGGAGCAATATTTGTTTAGATGGATGATTCCTTAAATACCCTACATATTATATATATTTTACTTAATTTTCGAATGCATTAGTAGCTACTGAACTCTTAACAAACAAATAAACACCAAACAACTTGTTCAGAAAAAAAAACTTATACAATATTAAAGTAAATATAAAAGAAAGCTTAAATCCACGTTGATTTTGTGAAACTAAATATTAACGAGAACTCAAACTTAACCAAAAACACAAACAAACCAACTGAATTAAGAGTATCTGAAAAATCAACCTGCAGAAAAACTTTACTAACCCCGCGAAATGTTTGCACATCAAACTTTTATTTTCCAGCTTGGAGAGCAATACAGTCAAGCCCCCCGATAACATCCCCCCAGCATTTTGGCCCACCCTCGTTGCAATAATTTCATTTCGCTGTACAGTTTATTATATAATTTTTGTCCCTCTTTGACTTTTATCTTACGTTTATTATGCCCCATGGAATTTGCCGATTTCCAGACGCTGTCCAACAACCCGCTGGAGGTCAATGTCTCCACCCAACCAACCAACCACTCGAGGACGAGAGCAAGGACGAGGACGAGGCAGCACATCCCTGAGATACATCCTGCCCCGGTGGCATCTTTAAGAGTTGTTATAACTTTGGCGCAACTTTGGCTTGTACATTCGAAAAGGGGGCGTGGGCATGGCTTTCAGCTGGGACTTCGTCCGGGGGCAAAGTGCTAAAATGCCTTGACGCATTCTTTTGCACTTCTCCGTTGAGAAGGGGAATCCTTCTCGCCTCCTCCTTGCTCCAGCAGCTGTCCAAATGTCAGACTCACTCCTCACTCCTCACTCCACTCCTCGAGAACACGAATCCTTGGCAGAAAACGTCGACTTGTAATAATCATAATCGTAAATTTGCAAAAAGCTGGCCGAGAAAAGCCGTGTGTCCTGGCCGTGTTGGTCCTTGGGGCCCGTTTAGCATTTTGCGCGGATCCTACGAGGCCATTGCCAAAACGGGGCGTGTTCGTGGGCGTTATGTTGTAGGCGTCATCATCATTATTATGCCCTGTTTTATTTATATTTTTTTTGTTTTTCGGTTTTTTTCGCTGCTGCTGCTCAGTGGGTGTGCGCCTTGTGCGTGGTTATTGGCGAAAAGAAAAAGAGGAGCAACGCCCCCACTTCACCCGCCTGTCCATCGACCGGGCGAAAGGCATTTAAAAAGTTTTCTAAACTTCATTTTGAAGTTTTATTACCAGAGCAGAATAAAACGGCGAGCATTTTCTTCCCCCGCATTTCTATTCGCTCCCATTTTTCTGGCTTGTTGTTGAAATTTGCTCTATTAAAATTCCGAGGCGCAGTTATGCCGGCGCAGCGAGTCCAGGACCTCGGTGCAGATGCCGCAAATACCGACTTTCCAGGCTCCACGCCCAGATCCTGTGGGAGGCCTGCATCTGGTGAAGCCATCAGTTATGCAGGTTGCCCCGCTGCATTCTCCCTTTACCACCCCCTCCCCCCAAACCGCCTCCCTTGGTCCTTTTTCCACTGCTTATCCTTGCTGGCGGCTTAGCAGCTTTGTTCGAGCCATCCAAGCTGCCTGCCAGCAGCTGGAGCAGAATGCAGCAGTGCCAGGACTCCGGGTAAGTCTTAGTTATGTGGAACTGGCATTTATCTTGCGATAATAGCAAGTTGTGCGAAGCGCTGGCAGAGGCGCCATTCTCAAGGATGCTTAAAGAACTATCTCGAGGGCTTTTATAGGGTATCTGGAGAATGAGATTAAGGCAGATGTTCACATTTGTTGGCATTACTAACTCAGTTATTATGCCATATTGGCGCATTGAGAACAAAATGCGATGCTGTTATGATATAAGAAAACAAATAAACATTAAAAACGTAAAGTAAATAACAATTATAGGGGTGGGCAAAAGATTCAGATTTAAGATCTTAAATGCAGAGAAAGTTTTTTTTTTAAATTATACTGCTTACTGCTTACTGCTTTACATTTATTTATATATTTCTTATTATAAGATGGACTTAAATCTCTGTAAATTTATTCCACATAATTTTTCCCAAGTAAACCCCCTTTACCACGCCCCTGAACAGCTTCTTCATCCACTGTAGCATATGCTGCCTGTGAATTAAACATTTTGCAAGCGCCAGACAAAGTATGCATTCAAACAAGTCACACACAAAATGCGAGAGGATGCAGTGCGGCGCGCAAGGATGTGCCTCGAGAATCCTTAACCCCGAAACCCCCTTCTTATTTTTGTCCCTAACGAAAATGTTTATCTGTGTAACTGTAAGCAGGATAAACGCACGCTTACACATGGAGACAGATACAGATACACAGATACGGATACAAGTAGAAGTGGAAGCAGAAGCTGCAGCTGAAACTTGAGCTACAACAAAATAGATCAGTTTAAGTACAAATGGCCGCCAATGCCACGCCCCCCGCCCCCTCCCTCAACCCCCTTATCATCCACATTCCCCGCTCTATTCTTCCTTTGCGGTTTCTTTTACTTCCGTTCGCTCTTCGCTCCTTTCTTTCACACGCGCCAGCGTCCATTGTTAAACTTTAATGCCAAATGGCGGTGGCAAGAAGCCCATGGTCCAAAGGGGCGGCCAGCCCAAGGGGGCGTGGCTGTACAAATTTCACGAAAATTGTCCTCGCCACCGCGCACGGGGAAAACTTTATTTTAGTTTCGTCCTCTTACCACTTTGCCCAGATGGAAAGCGTTATTTTATTGAATTCTCCTCTCGGTTTTTTTCATTTTTATTTTTTTCTGCAGGTTGCAAGAGCAAAAAAGAAACACGGTGAACAGGGAAAATTCTGTTGCCACAAAAGTTTTTCGTTTCATTTTCCTTTTTGTGTTTTTTATGTTTTTTTTTTGCACATTTGCCTGCACCATTTTGTTTCTCATCCCTTTGGCAGGCTGCTCATTTACTTTGTTGTCCTTGCTGGTCCTTCGGTTGCCATAGTTTTTTTTCGGTTAGTTTTTAAGTCTGGTTGTTGGTTTTACGTAGATTTGGCTTTGCAGTTTTTGTTGCATTAGCTGGTCGTTGAGGCGTAAAGTTCAATGGCGGGTTAAATGGACTTAATACCGGAACTTTTTAGAACTTTTACCCCCACCTCCGCCGAGAGGACCAAACTTCTGGCGTTGATCGTCCTGGGCAACAAAGTGAAAGTTTTTTGTTGAACAGCTTAAAAAGAGATTGGCTTTCCTGCTCCCACTGCCACTCCTTCTCCTTTTTACTGGCCAAAGGATTTAGCAGTTTGTCTCAGTTTGTGTGTGTGTGTGTGTGTGAGTGTGTGTGGCCAAGTTCGATGGAAATGTGGAAAAGGAATTTTCGACAGTAACAATAAGTGATGGCCGAATGTGTTGGCTGAAGTTCCTGCCTTCAAGGATAAAGTTTTTAGGTGACAAAGGAAAAGTTGGAAATTATTTGAAATGCTTTTCAAATAGCGAATGGGGAGAAATTGAAATGGAATATGCACATTTAAGTCGAACTTATCTGAAATAGTTTCCCCAGTGCAATTTAAGAGTTTGTGGCTTCAAATCTAAAAACTTTCCTCTCCGACTTTATTTTTCCCCCAAACTTTTTCCTAAAATCCCTGAGAAGCTTTACCTTTCAAACTTCGGGGCGCGTGTCAAAAATTTCGTTTCCATCACTTGAAAAAAAACCCTCAGACGAAACTTGGCCAACTTTGGCGGCGCTGAGGGCACTAAGGAAAATTTGTAGCCAGTTATGCAAAAGAAGCCAGCAAACAAAACCGTA